GTCAGTGCCTAACATTTCTGCTTAGATTTACTGGCTGTGAAATTTTAATTTTACTTCACTTGAAGATAGGTGCTGTAGATTCGCTTGTCCCGACAATTTTTCTCTCTCCTGTTCTCTCTAGAGGCAAGGATGCTCGAGGCGATAACCTGAACAACAATCACTCGGCTATCCTACCTCCTAATTCTAATACTGAATAATACCGAATTGTTTTAAACATATTAGACTACTAGACCGCATAAATTGTAATTGCAATAATTTTTTACTTTGAACAATCATTAAAAAAGAAGTTTAACAAGAAAGAAAGTAAAACATCTGTTACAAATTTTTTCCATTACTATTTTTGAATTCAATAAAAAAAACAAAAAAATTTGAAGCTATTTCGTCGTTGAAAACATCTGCAAATAAGTAGAAGTTCGATTTTTCTTTCGCGTATATTACTTGTACAAAAAATAAGTAAAACTATTCATCGAAATCAAAGTGAAAATTTATTTTTTAATTTATTTAAGAGACTAGACATTCCTTTAAAATTTCATTTCGACATTCGATGAGTTTTTAAAGAATTTCGAGAAAAAAAATTAGACCAAGTTTGAACGCATAGCTGCCGTAGCGATGAGGGCTTAGAAGGGAAAAATGAGCGACAATTCGAGCTTCAGGTCGAGAGGCTTGGATATGTCCCGCTTTAATTACTAATGGAATTAACCAATGATGCAAAACCTTTAAAAGCAGGTTGTTAATTTAAAAATTCGTGCTTAATAATTGCGATGGTCCCTACATCAGTGACCCAATGGCAAGATGGTTGCCATCGAGGATCGAGGCATGAGTTCAGATTCTGCTGGCCCGCTAAGATTTGTCTGGCAACAGTATCGCCTTACAGAAAAAGCAAAGAAAAGTGGAATTGCTCAATTCATAGCATTGATGCTAAGATCGCAGCAGGACATGTCGAAAAATTTGGGTGGTGACGGCTCACATGTACTTTTGTCACCAAGGGACTTCCTAGCATAACTGTTCACGACAAGCCAACAGGTTAAATTAAATCGGATACTTCTAAGAAGTCTCGTTCTAAAACGACAATGAAAAAAATCTCTTTTAGCTCATTGAAAGAAGTATAAAGTATAAAATTGAAAATTGAAAATTGAAAAGACTCGAAGTGGAAGTGTAAGTAAATTTATAAAAGAGGAGTAAGCAAATAATTTTACAAATAATTATTTTGCATATTACAATGTCTTAAAGTATTTTAAAAAATTCTCGAAATTTAGCAATTGCTAATTAAATTTAGTAAATAGAGTGCTTATTTAAGAAAATTTATTGTTTGTTGCAATTCTATAAATTTTTTACGATTTATTTTTATTTATTATTTGTGCATATAACACGGAGAACGAGGAGAAGAGTGGAACGATTCAGATGTGAAATGCTGAAATTTGATTGAAGAAGAAAAACAAGAAGAAGAAGGAGTTTTTCAAATATATAAAAATGATAAAAATAAAAAATATTTGAAATAACCGATTAAGAAAAATAAAAAAAGTAAAAATTATGGTTTGCCGAAAAACAATTTCCTCAATTTCCTATCAATATTTACTATTTATTTTGATAAGCATAAAACAGATCATATCAGTTGTTGATGTTCTTATCAGTGTTTACTCTTTTCGTCAAATGATCAATATACTTTCTTATTTTTGCTTAATATGTGAATAAATTTAAACATTTAAAATTGTCGGTATCACAATTGACGAATTGGAATTATTTATTTTAAATATTTGTTATATATTATTTATTTATTTATTTTAAACATTTATTATATTCCATTAATCCATTAATAAATTGTTTTAACCAATATTTTTAATATTTAATATTTTAACCAATAGCCAGCTTCAGGGGATATTGTGCTCTGACATTATGATTTATCCCTTTGAGTGATCTGAATTTGCCCATTTCGAATTATTACATTAATCCACCATGTGCAAATCAAGAAGATTTATTAATAAAGCATTTTTCTTTTCATATATTATTCGCCATTTCTGGTTTGGTTAGTTCTGCTATCCTTAAGTCAAAGAATCACTTAAGAATAGAGTAATATGCGGATTTCCGACACTACGAACTCGACAACCGCGTCCTAGTTTTATCCCTTTACTCCTTTAAAACCTCCAGGAGAAAGGATTCGAGCTTCAACTCGAGATAGATTCCTTTTATTTTATGGAAAGAAGGACATCGAAAACGAAATATTTTCATTGATATAAATTCATATATATATATATATATTCTCATTGAACTGTATATTATTCAATAAATAAATTTTGATGACTCCGTCGACATTAATCGGCGTAATTTCCATGAAACATAGTAGCTGAATTTTTATTATATTAATTGGTGGAATAGACGAGTGATTGCTTAGATTGTCGTCTCGAGTGTCAAAGTTCGAGCTCTTTCTCCAACGAAGATAAACTGCTCATTTAAAAATACGAATGCTGGGCACAGATTTCTCGTTAAGTGAATTTCTGGTAAAAATTTTTTTTTGCACAAATCGCCAATAGGGCGAACCTAATTCTTTTCGAAATCAGTTCATTTGTATTTGTTTCTCGCATTTCTAAATTTTTAATTTTAATTTATCTCATAAATTCTGAATAAATTTTCTGAAAAAAACTTAATTGAAAACGAGTTAGATTCGCTTCACACTTCACACTTACAAAAAATTTCTATCCAAAACTTGTTTCGATCTAATTCTGAAACAAGCATTCTATGCTCACTGTTAAATCTCTCGCTTTTCACTTACCAGTTCCAGTTTGCTTGCTTTCACCCGAGGAAAAAGGCGCTCCTCCCAGAGCCACAGAAATACGAATGGTCGCTGGTCCGCAATAACAAATAGCCGACCGTGCTGAATGCAGTGCTGCTTTTCTATTTGCTTTACACGTATCAATTTTCACGTGACGCTTTGCTTCCAATAAAATTTGCCTGAGTTAAACTGCAACGACAAATTTTCCCTGAATATCTCTTAGTTTTTCCTTTCAAATTGAAATTTTGAGGTTAAATTTCAAATTATTGTCGCAATAGCTTTGAGCGAAACAAGCGCTTTCATCGGAAATGGACAACGATTGGCATGGAAGGCAGTTATTCATGCATTCACATGAATGCAGTGCAGTGTCTCTCCATCGAACAAATGCGATAATTCGGTTTCTTCGTTCGTTGACAAACTTTTCTTTCTCTGTCAACTTTCTTCCCCTCAACTTTTTTTTCTCTTTTTTTTTCTAAATTATGCTTTTTTCCGATATTTATAAAATTTTTAAAAATAAATTTCTTGTTTGCTTTGAAATTCAATTTTTTTGGCGTACACATTTTTGAATTGTACTCTATTTTAATTAATGATGGAATATTATAAGTTCGATTTGTTTCACGTAAAATGTAACGCGCCATCATATCTGGGAACCCATTTTTACGTCAAATCTCACGTGGCACTCTCTCATGAAAAAGTTTCAGTTACTTAGAGCAGATAGAATCGTACGAGAAATAGTAGCATGTACTATTAAAAGAATCATTTTGCAAGCAAAGAAATATTTTTGTTTCCTAGAAGAATCGACGGAAAAATTCCTTTTTGCAGGTATTTATATTTCATTTTATAAATGAATGGTTTTAATAATTTACGATATACACAGAAAGTTTTTGCCAGGTGATAGGTCGTTCAAATGGGTTCTTTAATAAGCTACAACTAAAAGCCAAACTGCGGTAAAGCAAACTTGGCCGCTGCACTTCTTCCGTGTGCCTAACCTCCTCTTTTTGGCCAATCTCGAGCCAACTCTCGGGCGAACTCTCCGACCAACTTCCGGGCCAACTCTCGAGCTATCGAATCAGTTTTTCGATTCTTTTGACGAATTTAAAGCATGGAATACTTCAATAAGCAGTTAATTGATTTATCTTTTTTCATCTTCAAATGAAATCCTTTACGGACTGAGTGGGATGATTTCACCCTTTGGCCTGAACTGAGGTCAGATGCCTGTGTGTCCAAACATTTGGGTCCATCGTTGGGGTCAATATTCTCCCGTTTAGGTATAATTCTCCCGGCTTTGGGTTGAATTATTATTAAGGAATAAGAAATATATACGAAAAAAAGACGATAAGCTATTGAAAAAGGAAGTAAAAAGAATATTTGGAACCATTGAACGGAGAAGAAAAGAATTAAAAAAGAGCGCCGTGCAGGCAGGTAAAGAGAAATTCATGAGAAAACACTGCGGAAAGGAAAGGATGCGAGGCAAATATATATAATTTCATTCGTCTTACTAATACTCATTTTGAACGGGTTTGATTTGCTTGCGGTTGTGGGGTTCAGTTTTGTTGTGGACTTGGTTTGCGGGTCGACCTCTGACCTCCTAAGAGCTCGACGAGTCGAATTGTTGGACGGATGGACATCGAATGCAAATGTGTTGCCATTAAGAATCGTGCTGTATCCAAGAAATATTTTCGAAAGGTAAGTCATAGGTGTGAACCATCACCTATGAATCACTGTCAAACGGTTTGAACAACAAATAAATTTTCTCTTGATTTGTGGAACGTTGGGTACTGTCGGCGCGAACCGTGATGTGGCTCGGGGTATGGGTATTTTGTGCTATGCAGAGCCTATGGCCTTTGATTCTGTCGGTTCGGATCGGTTTGGATTTTTCACTAAAACATCGGACCAACCATCGCCATTTTTTTGATTCACTGCTTTTTTTGTATTTTTTTATATTTTGGTGCAAATTCACGTCTGAATCATGCATTCGCAAATCGTCACTCCGATGGCAGTTCGATTTTTTCCCAAAGGTCAGAAGTCGTGGAGAGAAGATTTTGCGCTCAAAAAATGTAATTTATTGCGTTAAAAAATTTTCCCTCTTTGTTATTTTAGTTAGATTTCGTAGTAATTGAAATGAAGTAATTGTCTTTTATTTATCACCACTGACAACAATGTTATTCCAGTAAAGCGATAATAATAACAATTTCCAATTAAGTGAAAATAATAGAGGAAAGCACCAGTCGAAATGCTCCATCGTACGCCATCTGGCGCTAAAAAGCGCATTCGTCAACGTCAAGAACAAAAGTTTTTATTTAATTTAAATTTTCTTTGATTTTTCGGAGTTTTAATTAAATTCTTAATTAAATTCAGTTTTTTAATTGAATTTTATCTAAATTTTCAATTTTTAATTCAGAAACATTCAGATTCTTCATACTTTTTTCATGATTTTTTTATTTCAGTAATGATATTCAGTAAGGAGGTTTCTATGATATTTTTAGATGGTTGAAATCAATATCATCAACGAATAGTTTTGATCACTCGTTATCATCTACTGATAATAATAGTGGTGATTATCGTTCATTGGTGAATGCTGGTGATTATAAGTCGATTCTACCTGATGAATTACCGTTTAATTCAAACCAGCTGCAAGTAACAAATCTGTTAGTTTTTGATACTTTTCGGCATTTTTTGCTAAAAAAATTATGCAGTATTTTTCATTAAGTTTCATTAAGTTTTTTTCATTAAGTTTAAGTATGCATTAAGTTTGTGCTTCTATGATAAGTACGGTTGATTTTTTAATAAATGTTTTATTTCATTAATTTATTTTACTATTAATAGGTAAGAAATAAGTGCTTGGTGCTATCTGTTTCCAGCTCGATCTATTCAGTGTCAGTACAGAAAATTTTGGTAGGGCGGAATAGAAGTACAGGTCGATTTATACATACAGGAATGACTATAAACCTTATAGTTAATAAAAATTTGATAAAATTTACCAGTAAAGGGAAAAAATAAATGAAAAAAGACCCTAATTGATAAATTATGAATTAAAATTATATGTAAACGAGGATTTGGATAAAGGTATTTTGAATTTTTTCTAAAAAAAAGAACCTTATGAAAAAAATTAGCCAAACCGGTTTTTTTCCATCAACATTAATTGTTAAAAAACTGGCTTTTTGCTTAAATATTTACATTTAATTATTAGTCGTCTATCTTTGTTATTACAGACTTTATAAATTAAAAAAATATTGGTTCAAAAATTTCTTTGGTAATAAACATATTTTGGCATTAGCATTATTTATTGTAAGCATTATTATTATTAGTATTGTTATTATATCATAATTGTTTTACTAAAAGTCGTTTTTTAGTTTGTGTTTTATAATTTTACAATTTTTGAATTTCATAATCTGGAGAAAATAGATAAGATCTTCCCTTCCATTCTCTTCGCTTCGCTTTACTTCTTTTTCTTTAATATGACCCGAAGAGTAATCGTGATTAGTTCAGTTTGACCTAAATTTTTATGATCTATTCCATCTTTTCTATCATTTTTATTATCTTTAGTCATTTGATTTGGCAGGAGTTATTGCGGATTTTCTTTAATGTTTTATGATTTTCGGAATATTGTTTGAAGTGAAAGAATGGTGATTTTTGGCTACTTTCTCTTTTTTTCTCATTTATTTGGTCTTATGAAACTATTGTTTTTGATTTTCTTGTTTATTTCCTTTGGTCAACGATTTGAATGCATAAATTTGCCAAAATTTACAAACTTCTTAATATTAATTCCTAAAATTTCTAGTCAAATGAATTTTTTTACGAAAATCAGTTTGATCGTCAAAAATTTTCTGTTTATTTAAAGATTTTCAGCTATTCACCGGCATTATCGCCGAGACAGTCATCACAGTTTACTTCAGCTGCTACTGCTGTTAGTACTACTACTAGTAATGTTTCATCTGTGTTATCTCCAGTCACCGCGTTTTTGCCATCTGCATCGTCATCATCATCGTGTATCGGTTTATATTTTTTATGTTTATGTTTGTCTGGTTGTTTAATTTTTTTTTGATTATTTTGCCGTATTGCTTCAAATTATTTAAAGGGTTTTAGATTTATTTAAAATTCCTAAATAATGTTGAAAGTAAGAATACGAAATTTCCAGATAAAGTTAAAAGTAATCGCTTAGCGACTAACAATTTTTATTTTGAGTGTATTTTAAGATAATCTAAATTAAATCAAAAATATCAAAAGAGAGATAGTTTGACCTTAATTTATTGCTATTTTGGATGATTAATGAGGTGTCTTACTTGTTTCATTCAATAAGAAAAGTGAAAAAGACGAAAATATGAAGGCTGTTTGTTTGATAAGTGAGAAAAAGTACTATATTTCGCGTGGCGAATATTGATGAATATTGCAAATTTTTAAAAAATTTCTAGATTTGATATGGTTCGATAAATTTCTAGATTTTTTTGTTTTTCCGATAATTTTACCTAATTTAGTGAGAAAAAGGAGAATTTTAATACACGGCTTTTTTGATAAAAGATATATTGTATGATGTGAAGAATAATATTTACTGATTTCTTCGATTGTTGAATCGTGCAGATCGAGTTTCTTAGAGTTTTTCGTAGATATGAATTAAGATTGCAAGGTGGCTGGAATGTCGATTGGAATGATTGGAATTTAATTTTAACAGCCGTGATGGCCTTGATAGCTAAGGAAAATCATTAGTAATGGTTGTTCGAAATTTTTCTTTGACTTCCTTTTTCCCTTTTTTTTAATTTGTGATTTTGCTGGGAAAGAAAAGATTTATTGCTTTTAGATTTAGGTTTATTGCTTTTTTATTTTCCTTATGCAATCTTCCTTCTGCAAACATTTCTTTAGAAAATATTTTAAGGTGGAAAACCAACGGTAGAAGTGCATCCAATGCCATCGCAACAACAACAGAATATTAACACAAAATCAGCTATGTGCTTCTCATCAAAATATGATATATTAAGTGAAAAAATACGTGAAAAACCCATCGTGCCGAAGAAACCTGCCAAGTTAATTTTGAATTCATCGATATTTGATTCATCTAAGACATCGCCATTATCACTGAGTACATCGATGTTAAATCTTCCAACATTTTCTTCTCAGGCATCATCAGTATCATCTAATTGTAATTCGAGCATTAGCAGGTTATTCATTCTTTTAATCTTTTTTAAGAAAATCTATTTTTTTGCATTGTATTAATTACTGGAATAAAAAGATACTTGTTATTCATTTTTATTTCAAAATATATTTCAGATTATTCACAACTCCTTCCTTAATATGCCTTCATACAGCACTAATGCAACCTAGTTTGACTGAAGAAGAAATAGAACGTTTAGAAACTAAGCGTCAGCAGGTCTTTGTTTTTCATTACCATTTTGAATTATCTCATTAATTTAAATGAAAAAATTTTTTATTCATGGCCTATAATATAAAAGAAGTGAAAGTACTACACATTATTCAAAATTCGGATAAAATTGCAGTTAATTGAATCAATTTCGCGAAAAATTTCCATATTAGATGGTGAAAAAGATTCAATAGACAATGAAATCGAAGCAAATGAAACTTTGCGACGATGTATTGTGAATGATTTATTGAATAATTGTGAAAATCAAGTTCTAGTCGAAAAAATTGAGAAAAACCTTGCTCAGAATTCACAGTTGATTCGGTTTGTTCTCAATTCAGTTCTTATTAAAATCTTGATAGGCGCGATTTTTTTATTTTTGATTGATTTTTAATCGGGGTGTAAATCTAAATTTTTTTAGAAATCCACTTTTTCTGAAGGTTTAATATACTTAAATTTTTCGATCAAAGAATCGTTCTGCAAATTGAAGGTTGGAAACACGTTTGCGTATGCAGTTGGAACGCCTCGAATCTTTGCCATCGGATAGTGTAGAAAAGGATTTAAATATAGCTAGAATTGAGAAAATAAAGCAACAAATTGATGATAAGGAACTTCTACTAAAAGCGTTTAATCGACGAGATTCGGATGTTGATCGGTGTATTTGTTCTTTATTATGTGTTGAACGACGTCTTCAATGGAGGTCAGATTTTTTTGCAACAATAATTTTTTTCATTTTTTCATTTTTCATTTTATTTCATTTATTCATTTAAAATAGGTTAATATAAAAACTGGATTTGAAGAATGTGGTGAATCTTCGTTTCGAGTGCGTAAAAGTTGCACAATCTCTCTTTTTTTCTTTTATCGAAGTACTTGTGTTGTATTTTCGGTTCATTATTTGGATAAGGTTTCCATAATCCTTAAATGTCATCAGTTTTCTGGTTTTTAATGTATTTTTTCGTTATATTTAAATCTAAAAAATCGTGATTCGTTTAAGATTTGTTTAAGAATAATAATAAATGTTAGTTACTGATTTGTTGTTTTGAAGTTGTGACATGGTTAAATCGATTTTACGACGTTTCGGCGTTTGATTGTCAAATTTAGATTGAGTGACTAAAGATTTTGTAGAGAACTGACGAATTCAGTGAATTTTTGAAATTTCGGTACCAGTTGGAACTTCTATACCATTTATAAATTGCATAATTTTTTTTTTTGTTTTCACAAGTTCTGTTGCAATTCTTTTAATAAAATTTTTACAAAATCTTCGATGATATTTATTTATTAAAAAAAAAGTGATATTCATTTAGTTTTGTAAAACGAAAAAGATATTTTCTTGTGCAATTTTTTTAAGAACTAGATCTTTCTTTTTAAATCTCCTCTTTTCAAGGGCATTTCGCTTTTTTTTTATCCGATATATAAAAATTATTTTTATGGAGCAATTTTATTTTCTTTTGTTTGCAGATTTTATAAAGAAACATGGAAAAAGTTAATGGTTGAACGACATGAAATTGATGAACGCTTATCATTTGGAAGAGAACAACTTAATGCTTTATTAAAAGCGCAAACTAATCTCTAGTCATTTATCATCTTTATTGTGATTATTTTATGTTATATTTTATCTTAATTTTATTGTCGTTTCTAATTATTGCTACTTTTTAAATTCTTATATTCTACTATTCTACTATTTTTACATTCTAGTTTATATTCTACTATTTTTGTAGGTTCATTTTATAATTAAATGCTAAAATAATCCAGATTTTTTACATTTTAATAAAGATTAATATTAGGATTAATAAGGTTTAATAAAGATTACAGAAAATATAGCAAAATGCATGGAAAATGAATTGTAAAAAAATTAAGTGATGTAAATTGGCCAATCAATTGAAATTGAATGCGAAAGTAGAATATAAACTCAAACATTGTGTATGTCTACTTATATATGTAATTCTGTATAAATTCGATAATTTTGTAAAATTGAATTATTAACGATGGGATTAGAAATATATCAATGTTGTTAATATTGTCGTTGTCTTCATGTATTTCAGTGTACGGCTGATTGTTTTTTACTTTTTATTTTTTGGGTTGTATCGGAAAGATCATTCATATAATTAATTTAATTTATCGATAACAATAATATTTATTGGCAAATTCACTTAATGAGTGTTTTGAATACTTTTTTAATTTTGTGAATATTTAATAAATATTTTCAGTTTCCCCCTTTGCATGTCAAAAATATCTACAAATAATTCAGCGGTATTGTTCCTTATTAGTTTATTTCTATCGAAAGAAAATTAAATTTTATATGTTAAATTTGGATCCAGGTTAAGTGAATCTGGTCGAAGGAAATTCACGTTTTCTGGGGGGGGGGGGGGGTTTATGTGAGACGCATTTAGCCGAAGGATTTGATTTTTAAAGCAGCGCCTGTTGGCGGTCTTATATTTCTTTTAGGCGAGAAATGCGTGGTGATTGTTGCCTCCCAATTTTCTGAAAGGAGGGGGAAAAGGCGGATGTTGCAGACAAGCATCTCATTTGTTCCAGGTTTATTATATGGTCAGTTGGAGTTTTTGCTTTTGAAACAACTTGAATTGTAGTACTTTGATTTGGTTTTGGGCATATTTCTGACAGGCTCAGTGGGCTGTTGCTCAATTGGGAGAGCGGATACTGAGGTTCGATTCTCTGCAGGAGTAGACCTGTACAAAAATGCGGGTGATGCTGGCGACTCACCTGTATTTCTACTGCTTGGGCATATTGCCCAATGCGATAAGCCCATGTAACGAGTTTAACTATTAATGGTGAGGACTCTTAAAAAAAAAGTATTTCTAGTGTTTCTGGTGTTTTTGAATTTTCGAAATTACTAAAGAAAGTTACATTACTGTGGAAAAAAATTCCGTCGTTGGCATTTTGTACAATTTCTCGGCTTTCTTAGTATCGGTTTGTATAGTAAATAAATATTACATTTGTTCATTTAAGAGAGAGAATGAAAGATGTTGGCGAAAATAGTGAAGGAACATAACTCTGCACAACAGATCCATAAAGAATTGCAAGGTGAAGAAAGTTCTATTTTATATTCTCTTAATGTTTTTCGTTAGTAATCAGATAGAATGTGAAAAATGAACGTTGCATTTCGATTCGTTTGTTTTAGCCCATCGGGAAATACTAAATTTAAAAAAAAAATAACCAAAATATGGATCCTATAAAGATTTAAAAAATATTTTATAGAAAAACGGAAAAATGAGGCAATTGTGGCGGCGCAAAATTTTTCAAATGCGATCATTGATCATCTTAACTATTCGTAAGTTTTCATCATAAATTTTTGTGACTTCGAAGATTTTCATTTAAATTCTTCATTTAATTTTTAAGATTTCCGTAAAGAAATCTTATTTATTTATTTTAATTATTTAATAAAATGATAATCCAATTTCTGCAGTTATTTTTAATGCACATCAAGTTGAACCGTTTTATATTAGAAATAAAAAAATTATAGAATTTCAAGAGCATATAACAACCAAAAACGATTAGATGTCGAAGCGAAAAAACTCGAAAATAATGCAATGGTTTTGGTGAAGCAGACTGGAAAATGGGTTCAATTAACCGATCAGTTAAATCAAGCATTGAAGGTTATTAATGCTAGTTATTGTTAGTATTACACATCTGATTATTATTTTATTAGTTTATTAATTTATGTATGAGATAGTTGTCTCATTCCACTGCCAGTGATAGCCAGTGATCTTAGTCCACATGGTGAGTAAAACAAATGATTAATCATAAGGTTCGCTCCACTAGTTGTTAATAAGTTGACGATAAATATAAAAAAAATCTTTCTCCTCTGTGATCACCCTTAACCTCGGGTCCTCTGCTGGAAGCCTAGGAAATTGAGGGTTCTGTGCAATATCTTAACTGTTCCTGATAGTGCCCTCTCCTGGATAGAGATCTCTGATGAAACCATTTTTTCAGTTTAAGGGTTGCAGTTCCAAGTGCTCCAATTATTACTTGGCCTTCACTTTCTTCTCAAGTTCCTCTTTCAGGCCTGGTGTTTCTTTAACTTTTCTTCTTCTTCATTCTTCTTATCATTTGGTATTGCTGTATCAATAAGCAGATTTCCGATTCTTGTCTACTATCGCGATATCTAATTGATTGGCTTGTATTTCCTTGTCTATCTGGATGGAGAAGTCCCGTGGCATCTTCATATTATTCTTCATCTATGGAATCTCCCATCCAGACTTGGGAAGATCGCAATCAATTTTTTGTACCTTTTCTGAGGGTTCTTGAACGATATATATATATATGGGGTAGAATGGCTTAATGGCTTAATGACTCAATTTGGAGCGTCGATACTAAGGTCCTATTCTCTGCAGGAGTAAACCTGTCCAGAAATCCGGGTGATGCTGGCGAATCACCTGTATTTCTATCGCCAAAGGACTTCCTGGCATGTTTCTTTAGTGCAGTAAGCCGGCGGAGCAAGTTTAACCAGTAATGGTGAAAACTCTTTAAAAAAAAAATGTATGCATAGACCGCCAACGTCATCCGAATTCTCCAAAATACTAAAGATTGAGCAACATCCACTCCTGCCTGCCTCGGCTTTCATGCCTTCCACTTGTTTGGTTTGAATGGTACCAGCTGCTTGATTTACTGGATTCATTTTTATATTTTCAAATGTTTAAATGCCTTTTAAAAACCATTTACTGAAAATTTATGTATTTTTTACTTTATAACATCGTCTTTAGAATGGCGGATAACTTTCCAAATATTAAATTAAATATTAAATTCTTTTTTTCCTTATTGCCAATTTTTGATAAATTAAGACTTCGCAATTCAGGAAATTGGCGATGTTGAGAATTGGGCGAAAATAATTGAGACGGATATCAAAACAATTTCAGATATATTAAAAGCGGTATTTGATGGTTTGTTTTTTATTTATATAGTGTATTAATTATCTGCTTTCTTAGATAAAGTTCCTACCTCTTATACGAAAAGAATAAAACTTTATTTAAAACTTTTGTTTCTTTCGCAATTTCGGTAAATGTTTTATGAATCAAATTGAAATATAAATATATCTTTTTTCGTTTTTTCACTAAATTAAATATAAAAATTTTTTGCAATCTTTTAATTTATTCGACGAAATTCCATACATAATGGAAATATAATATCGGTTATTTTTTAGATAAATCGTCATAGTTTCTCGAGTTCTATGGTCAATTGCCTGATTTCTTTTTCTATGGCTTCCTTTCGAGAAATTTTCTCTAACTGCGTTTTTTCTGGTTTTAGCAGTTCTCCATTTTCAATCTTTTTCTTAAAAGGATGTTTCTTCTTTAAAAATGAGTTTCTTGAAAATTGGAATGATGAATTTTAATAATTTTTATAAATAATTGGCAAAAATTTTAACAGCCGGCTTTCAAAAAAAAAAAGGTTTTGAACAAGAAATCTAATTCCTCTGAAATTCAATTCAATTTAAATTCAAAGAAATTTAAACCACTTAATACATGTTTCACTGGATTTTAATTAAATTAATTAAATCTAATTTTATTGATTTAAGGTGAAAACTGGTGAAACTAGTTTCAAAACTAATTAAAATCTTTTCTTGAACGATGGAAAAAATGAAAACCTCTAACACTTCGATGTCATTAAGTTTTTTGTATAAATTTCGAATTTTTTTTGCGGTATGATCTTGTGGGGTTATTGGCGCATTTGGTCTATTTATTGAACTGACGGGTATATTTGGTTTGATTGATGGGTCGGATTGCTGTAATATTAGTTTTATTTTATTTCCAAATTTTCATTCTATAACATTTATTTTTTAAATATTTTTGCACTGAATTAGGATAATTACAACTGGCCAACTTTTCTATAATCTTTTGCAAGCTTAACCTTGTTAGTATTTTCCATCGGTGACCATCCTACAGGATAAGTGGATTCCCTACTTTGTTGCAGTCCTCGACTTTCATATATTGGTTGTTCCTCCTGAGGTATGTACCCATCTTTTACTCTCCGTGCTTTTCGCCAGCTACCATCCGCACGCTGCGAAGCAGCTATATACGTTTCGCCTAAAGAATGAAATCCTTTTTTATTAAGAATGAAATTTAATTTAATTTGTTAAAATGATCAGAAATTCTATTAAGATTTTTCATTTTTAATTAAAATTTTGTTCTTAAGGCCAAAAAATGAAAAAAATTACCTGTTTTTGTTTTGATCCTAATATCACCAACAATTCCACGCGTCGTTGCCATTAATCATCAAAATAAATGAACTTGAAAATTGCTATTCTCTAAAATGATTTACATCTTGGATTTCATAGGTTCCCTTATTCTGAATATAATTTCCTTTAAAGATTGTAAAAAGAGGGGAAAAACCGAACTTTTAATGAAATATGAGATTATCTTACCCGGTTTTGAAACGAAATCAAACGAAAACAAATTGAAAATAGCAAATGTTATAATTTTTACCTTGTGCCAAATAAAAAACCAACAAAAGAAAAATACCATCAAAAATAAGACAAAAAAGCTTGAACTTTGCACAAAGTATAAAAGTAAACTTCCGAAACGTTTTATTTTAACAAAATAATTTGGAAATTTCGAAGAGAAATGGAAAATATTTCGTTCTATTTACAATGATTTCCATAAGCTGCATTATCAATATACTTTCATGAAGAACAGATTTCCGAATCTTCTGATCATTTAATTAAATTCTCATGAATTTAAGAAACAAAAAAATGAAAAATCAGTTTGAACGGGACTAATGTTCTATTTTACTACTAAAGATTTAGGTAAATTAGTTTTATCACCGCGACATTGGGGGCAGTACCATTTACCCTTTGGCTTTACTTTCAAATCAACGCATTCAAAATGGAACCATTCAATTTCACACTTTTCATTGTCACATCCAATCATTTCTCCAAATGATATCTAAAAGAAAATTTGAGATACCTTTAAAAAAAATGATTGAGTTAAATGAATTTAATCATGCTGAAAAAGGGTGGTCGGGTGGTATAATGTATTGTTTTGATGAAATAAATCTACCAGAAGCGTGGAAGATAGGAGGGATAATTTTAATTTTACTTTCCAACTGTTTCCCTGGTTACATGACTTCCTTGGTGGTTGAACTAACTGTACAAATAATTTTAATAATTAAATTTTAATTTTAATAAACATCTGGTAACATCCAGTGAATAGAAGTTTTTTCAAGTTTTTAAGTTTAAATTTCCGCAACTCTAATTATGTTTAGATCTCTGTCATTAATTATCAAATATGGCCGTGCGATTTATAACTGCTCATTGATATGTTATTTGAAAACAATAGCCACTCGATTCGTAATTTTATTTTTTGTAATTTTCTAATTTTATTTTTGCTTGATTATTTTTTGCTATATTTGCTATTTTTCCTATTTATTTTATTTTCATCGATTTTATTAACAGAAATTGTAAAGTAAACCTCACCTTCGTTATAATTTAATTTAAATAAATTATCTTACCTGACGACAAGTACAATAAAGCGGTTCATCGGGTGATGCAGATATAGAAATGGTAGTTACTTGCTTTTTACGAGGTTTGCTTCCGCGCCCGCCACTTCCGCGTTTTCTTGACTGATGAGTCGAATCTGAAGTTCTTCTTTTGTAAGCTGAATTAGATATATCAGATGAACTTTTCGTGAGAGAAATCAGCGGTGAAAATAACTCCAGTTGATTTGATTTTCGTTTACAGCGAAACGTTGCTGGAGAACTCTATAATATTTTCAACTAAAATATTTAAAACATTAAAAAATGACTAAAATAATAAATAATTTTTAATAATTTTTAATTTAATTTATAAATGCGAATTTAAAATGTTCATTCTCAAATGAGCTACTGAAAAAAATATAAATACAAACTCGATCCGAACTTGTTGCAGAAACAATTTCATTTTCTTTAATTGTGAATTCACCAGCTGATCGTTTATCTCGATCCGAACGACGAATAGTTTTGCCTGTCGTTTTTTTTGCTCGAATTTTTAGAGCTACATTTGTCGCTAAATTAAAATCGAAGGAATCGAAATGCGATAAATTATGAAGGATTGTTGGATGCACAATGGGCCATCTCATTTAGAAGCGCAATGATGGAGTTCTATTTCTGAGAAGACTTTTCCAAAAACTACTGGTAACTCACCTACACTTCCAACCAATGATTCCTTGGCAGAATATGTCGGACAATGAAGTGAAACGAGTCTAATCAAAAATAGTAAGCGCTCTTCGAAAAAAAATTCATACTATTATTATTAATTGTTAATTTATTACTATTAAATTTTTTTATTATAGTTTTACTAGTTATTCTATTCTATAGATTGATCCCAAATGAAAATAAAATTAACTGTTGCTTCTCAAACTAACAGCAATACGAACTAAAATCAACTGACAAGCTTTAATACAATTTTTTCTCTCTCTCTGCATTCCTATTATTTTCCCAATAAATTCCGAGTATTTAAAATATAATATACTACTCAGTGAAATTATCAGTTCGAGCATCTTGGTTTAGTTTCTGATCTTCGAAGAGAGTAAATTCGTTATTAAAAACAAAGTTCGGCTGGCGTTAGAAGACCCTCTACATTTCCACCATCAGTTAATTCTATGATTTCAACAGGTAGTTCGACCATTAAAAAAATGTTTAGAGCGGTAAAGGCCATATTAATACGAAAAAAACCTTTTTCATTATTAGCCTTTTCTGTTCGACCAGACAATCTTGACAGCGTTGATGCAATAGTAATCAAGTAATCACGTTTTGCCAGAGACAAACACTGAGCAATGAACAACTCATTTTCCATCTGTTTAAGTAATTCAGCAGTTTTATCCTCAGACAATTCCTATAAATCAATCAAATATAAACTAAAGCGAGCTTTTTAATAAAATTTCATTACTTGAAAAAAGATTTTTAAGGAAATGTTACTTTATTTAAAAGTGAATCTTCCAGTGCATTCAGTCGATTAGCACATAAGCGAAATGGCAAATCAAGTGAACGTAACTCTTTAAATGGATCCTAAAAATAATCTTCATAAATGAAAAAATTCTATCAATGACAAATAAAAAAAACGTGGTTACATAATCAAAAAATAAGAGCATTTCTGAAGATATTTGTGAAGATATTTGAAATTAAATAATTAGCTCGTGCCACTGGCTATTAGTACGGTGAGAAATTTCGGCCAGGGGACTACTTGGCAACGGAAACACATATGGGTGCTCGGCTTATCCGAGTCTGGCGATCGCCACCAAGCCTTATCACCTTATCAAGAAGATAATCCGATTCACTTGACATTTATTTTTCCATTGCATTCCAAGTTTATTTAGACATTTTGCATGTTTCCTTTAAAATATTTTAAAGAAAAATTTCAAAAAACCTTTAGAATTTCGAATAATGAACGAAGAGACGGTTGTTGCTCATCGAAGAGGCACTTTTTGCCTATACAGTTTAACTTAATGGACATATTTCAATGAAATATTTTGAATAAAGTTGAGCAATAGATCGAAAATAAGGCTGCAAATTAGTGCGTCTAACGATCGGTGCCAATTACTACCACTCGAACTTCTTTATATTTGCTGCACGCACTGGAGAGTTAGGGCTTGTGTTGAGATCATTACACCATGGAGCCAGCCGAAGACGGAGGTGCAGGTGAATCACCCAGCGCCATCCGGAGTTTATTCACCCGCGTCAAGCGACGAAGATCGGATTTAATCAAAGCAATAGGCTATTTAACCAACCTAATCCCACTAGTACGTCATGTAAGGCAAATGCTGGGTTTTGAGTTACCATTTCAGCTGTCTCTGGAATAAGTCACTGCTAACTGATTGAATGAGCCCGCAGGAGTTCGTTTATTCTTTGTTTGATAACGGTTTAGATGAAAACAGAAAGAATAGATGTGAATTAGGGAAAATGAATTTATTTTAGAGTAAACTGGTTTAGTTCAACAATTTCAGTTAATATAGCCTTTTGAAAAATTTATTTGGCAAAAATGCTATATAACTTTAAACCATTAAAGCACAAAACAAATAAAAATAACTTAAGGACTGAAAGAAGTTTACGCAAGAGCACACATTTAACACATGTGCATTAAAGTTTGTCTCTTATTCTGTTTAGAAAGTCGATTTACTATCAATCCTCGACTACAGTTACTCTTTTAATGGTACTTAGCCGCATCAAATAAGTTTTGGTGGAGTTGGCTTGGCTTTTATTATTTTTAACTTGATGCACTTGTGTTCCAGGCGATGCTAAAAGGGTATAGCAGGTTTCAGAAGGGCTAGGAAGAAGCATAACAGGTTAATAGGGTTTGAGGTAGCATTATGCGACGAAATAGTGCAATGGAAATATTTGAGGAACATTAGGAAGGAATAAAAGAGGCATTTTCAGGATTCTTGGGGCCCCTTAAATTTTGCTTTAGGCAAATATCGCTCGTAAAATAGTTCCTAAAATAGTTTTTACGACTGAAAAAACTTTAATATAGAAATTTTATTTTGGCTTAATGCAACCGCAAGAAACATGGCACACTTAGCCAGTCGCATATTGAGGGCGCTTCCAGCCATAAGAGAAAGGAAATGTACAGAGACATCCCGCAGTGCTGCATCCAAGTCACCAATGTCATTTTTAATTTCTTTGCGTTATTTCATAATCCATCTGTCGCAGAGTGTGCTGTTGTGTGATTTTCTACGATAAAAACATTTTTACAATCGGCCTCTGTGTATCCACCTTTGAGGCAGTTTCGACAGACTTGTCTTAGTTAAACGTTTAATTTCTAATCTTTATTTCAAAATAGTGTAAGTCCCACATTCACAATCCCAATGACCTTTGTGAACAAGGTCATCTCTTATAATTTCCACCTAATCCTTTCTTAATAGACAAAATTGAAATGACTTTAAACTTGTCTGAACCAGATTGACTGATTGCAGAAGTTTCTCCTTCGTTTCCTTGTTGCCAACGTTTGGATTTGAACTTGATTAATTGTCGTTCACTGTTGGTGTTTGAGGTTTGACTTCTGGTTACTTGGTCGTTTCTTTTTATTAATTTTCCGAGAAATTGTTGAATTGTTTTGTTACTGACCAGGTCTCAGCACCATCATTTTGTTGATATACTTTGTCTAGTATCCATTTCAATACTCGAGCGTTCAAGATTTTCACCGATTGCTTAGTTGATGAAGAATTCGTTTGATTGCTTCGGCTATCGTTTTCCAGTCTCGATCATACCTTTTGACAGCATGCAGTTCATCATAAAGAGATTTCTTCTTATTAGTGAAAATTCTTTACTTTCTCTTTCTTCTTATTGCTCTTAACGCTTCTCCCTTTAAGTTGGAGACTAAATAATTTAATTTTTGTACTTTTTTATTTGTTCGATTATTGATTAAAAATTTTTGAATGCATATATATTTTTTATACATGTCCAATATAACAATAGCTTCTTTACCGTCAGTTATTAAGAAAAAAGGGGGCTTTGTTGTGATGAGTCGGAAAGGAAATTTTTATTTACCGATGAATTAGCAACAAGATATTACAACAGTAATAATTGGATCAAGGAGACAAATAAGGTTAAATTAAAAAAGGTAAAGGTCGCCTTGAATTCTGGTTTAGGCAAAAAAATTGGTCGAAGTTCGTCGTCTGAAGCCTCTGTTTGTTATTTGAAGCACCATTCGAACGGATTCTAGCTTTTTTTTCGCATATACGGGTTAAGCTTACAAATTACATAAAAAATTGCATAGAAATTATGGATATATATTTTTCCTTTCAAGGAATCTTTCCTTTCAAGTTGTTTCACAGCTTTATATAAAATTTGTAAATATGAAGGCTCATACAAAAAAAGGAAAAATGATAAATTTTGTACGATTTGAATATTATGTGGCTGACTCATTACTGCGAAGAGTCCTTTGTTCAAATAGTGTTTTTTCAATGATAAATTCTTTCAGTTTTTTCCGACACCATCAGTTTCCACCATCTCTACATTCTGCTATTTTAATTCTGTTATTTTTCCTTCTTTTCCTTCTTTTTCCTTCTACACTTTTTTACCATAGCCCATTACTTGATACCCTCTTGCATTATCTCACATTTTAGAATTCCCTCATTTAATGCCTGAATAAAATCCTCTTCACTTGCTATTTTCTCAATATTTTCTCAACTCTAAATCCCATTAAGGTCCTCTTAAAACTCCAGATCGCAAAGCCCATTGTATTCTTTTTAGATCGCCTTAGTTATGCTCCTAAAATCCCTTCTTTTAAAACTTATAATAATTCCATAGGCTTTAAGGCTTCATGACACTAAGTCCTATCATGATTCTTTGATGTCATTCGGGATTTTTGTGGTGCTTCCGACCCTTTTATACTTTTCCACAACTCCAAATCCTTATTTCACTCAAATCTTTTCAAACATTGCTATTCAGTCCTCGAAAGCATTCTCAAGAAATATGCAAACGCTAAAATTTATGATCACCCGTAGTCCCGAGTCCTAATCCAAATAGTTCAGTCGTTGCAGGGTTTAGGCAATTTTATTAAAAATAACGAAATGGGGAACAAATGGAGGAACAAATGGAGGAACAATTTCAAGCCTTTAAAATTGGATTAGGGTCAATATGATATTAATGTGATATTAAATAAGGTGAAAAATAACGCAGTATGGAAAAATTTTAATGAGATATGAGGTACTGTACTAATGGAATACACCAAGGTCTCATAGCAGTTTGAAAAAGATTTGGTGAGGTGCTGTATAGGAAAATCACTACCTGAAAGGTTTTCGAAATTATATAATTGGATGTGAGGGATCAGAATCCACAATTAAGCTAATACATCAACTAATACACCAACACAGTGATTTACAACCTTTTTTGTTTCATGGCTTCCTTCATAAATTTGCAGTTATCCTCGTTTGTTGACATCATGAAAGCATGTCCCTTGAACATCTATAAGATATCTCCAAACTGCTCTGTCTTCATCGCTAGTAGTAATAAAACCCATTCATTTCCATCGTCTGAGTCCATATATCGCTGGTCCCCTATATGTTAAATATTTCCTGACTGGAT